GTAGACCCCCTTTTGACTTGGGGATCAGAAAGTAGCGGGAGTAAAACCCCCTGCCCCTTAGCTCCGATGGAACCTCCTCTATGGCCCCCAAAGAGAGGAGCCCAAAAACCTCCTGTGTAAGGAGTTGCTCGTGAGAGGGGTCCCTGAAGAGGGACGGGGAGGGGGAGTGGGAGGGGGGGGGCGAGGAAAATTGGAGGGCGTATCCCCTCTCCACCGTGCGAAGGACCCAGCGGTCCGAGGTTATAAGGGACCAAGCACGGTGGAAGCGGGAGAGGCGATCCCGGAAGGGGGGAGTTGGATCCTGGATACAGGCCGAGGTGCCGTCCTCGACCGCACCTTCAAAAGTTTTGCCTAGGCCCTGAAGGTGGCCTAGGCTGTCCCTGGTTTTGACCAGGTTGAGGGCCGGTCGACCTCCGCCTGCCCCCTCGACCCCGCCGCCTGGCAAAGTCCTGTCTAGGACGAGGCGGGGGAGGGTAAAATCTCTGTGGCGGTGGCCAGAAGGGTCTGCGCTGAGGCCCCGGGACATGCATGCCCAGGGAGCGCATCATTGTCCGCGAGTCCTTGAGGTTTTGGAGCCTCGCGTCAGTCTTCTCTGAAAAGAGTCCCTGGCCCTCAAACGGCAGATCTTGTAGCGTCTGCTGTAGCTCTGGTGGCAAGCCAGACACCTGGAGCCAGGAGAGTCGCCGCATGGCTATCCCCGACGCCAGGGTCCTAGCTGCCGAGTCTGCAATGTCAAGCGAGGCTTGTAAGGAGGTGCGCGCCACCCGCATACCCTCCTCTACCAAAGCCCCAAACTCCTCCCTCGATTCCTGGGGAACCAGCTCCTTGAATTTCCCCATCGAGGACCAGGAGTTGAAGGAGTAGCGGCTCAGGAGCGCCTGCTGGTTGGCCGCTCGGAGTTGGAGCCCCCCCGCCGAGTAGACCTTGCGTCCGAACAAGTCGAAGCGCTTAGCGTCCTTCGACTTGGGCGCAGCGGCCTGCTGGCCATGGCGCTCCCGTGCATTCACCGATGATACCACCAGTGAGCACGGCTGAGGATGGGTATACAGATATTCATGGTCTTTGGAGGGGACAAAGTACTTCCGCTCCACTCCTCTGGCCGTGGGTGGAATCGAGGCCGGGGTTTGCCAGATGGTGGTGGCATTGGCTTGAATGGTCGGGATCAACGGTAACGCCACGCGAGAGGGAGCGTCCGCTGACAGGATATTTACAATGGGGTCGTGCACCTCCACGATCTCCTCCGTTTGGAGGTCCATATTGCGCGCCACCCTTCACAAGAGGTCCTGGTGCGCTCGCAGGTCAATAGGAGGCGGACCCATGGCGGATGTGCCCGCTACCGCCTCATCGGGGGAGGAGGAGGAAGATCCCCCCGGTGGCAAGGGGTCCAAGGGTGGTTCCTGCTCCAGTTGTTCCTGTTGAACGTCAGCAGCCCCTGGGACCAGGGCCTCCACCGGAGTGGGCACCGGCGCCTCCATACCACCTGGTGGGGGGCGGGAGATGGTGGCCTCCGGGACCCTGGGCTCGGAGCGTGCCGAGCGGGACGCAGAAGGAGGGGCGCCTTGCGCCTGGTGGTAGGCCCACGGCGTCCAGAAGGACCAATGCGCAGGAGCTTGCGTAGGGTCCTCCGCTGTCTCCTCCAGGTGGGTGGCCTCCGCCTCCGAGGAACGGGACGCCGACCTCGATGGCCACGGCGGTGCCGAGCGCACCGACACCGGCACCGGATGGTACGGTGCCGATCGGTGCCGGTCGTAGGGCGATCTGTCCCTGCCCGGTGCCGGGAAACGGTGCCGAGATCTAGATCGGGATCGGTGCCGGTAGTCTCTTCGGTGCCGAGAGCCCGATCTGGAGCGGGACGAAGATCTCGAGGAGGCCCGGTACCGGGAGCGGCCTCTCGAGCCCGAGCGGCGCTCATACCGGTGCCGGGAGCTCCTCCTTGAGCCCGAGCGGTGCCGGTCGTCACGACGGTGCCGGGATCTGGAACGGCGTCGTGAAGGTGATCGGTGCCGCGAGTACGACCGGTGCCGAGGTGACATTCGGCGCCGGGACTCCGAGCGGCGTCGGGACGTGCTCCTGGACCTCGAACGGTGCCGCAAGTCTGGAGCTGGAGACGGCGGGCGCAGCAGGGCAGGCTTGCCCCTGGACTGCAGCTGTCGCGGAGCAGCCGGTGCCGGGAGGTGTGACGGCCCCGGTTCGGTGAAGGCAATCAGGTCCCGTGCCGTTGCAAATGTCTCCGGGGTGGACGGGAGACAAGGTTCCACCATCAGCCTAGGTGGGGAAACAGTCCGCACCGGACTCGATGGCCTCGGTGCCGGAGTCAACGGTGGGGCCGCCTGTTGTGGGCGGTCCAACGGCGGACGCGGCTCTACCCCCGGCACCGAGGGAGCCGGCGTCTTCGGCGCAGCCTTGTCCTGGATCTTGCGGACCTTCTTGTGGCCCGGAGACAGCGATCGGCGCCGAGGCCCCTGAGGCGGGCGCGGTGCCGACGTCGGTCGGTGCCGTGGTTTATCCGTCGCACCGGTCGGAGCCGCCGGGGCGCTGCGCACGGAGGCGCTCGGTGCCGGGGTGCTGTGCACCGAAGTGCTCGGTGCCGGGACGCTGCGCACCGAAGGAGGGTCCGGACTCAGAGCCGCCTCCATCAGGAGCTGTCGGAGCCTGAAATCTCGCTCCTTCCTCGTCCTCGGCTTGAAGGCCTTGCAGATAGGGCACTTATCTGCAGGATGGGCCTCCCCAAGGCACTTCAAGCAGGAGCTATGCGGGTCACTTGTTGGCATGTGCTTCCCGCAGGACGCGCACGGCTTAAAGCCAGGAGCCTTGGGCATGAGCCCGGCTGTGCGCCGGGGGGAAAAGGGGGGAGACAACCCCCTAAACCCCCGCTAACTATTTACAACTAAACAAAAAACTAACAATTAACTATCTAAAGAACTATAACAACTATATACAACTATCTACACTAATGAAAATGAGAAAGCTAGGGAGAGTGGAGATCAGCTATGCCGCGCTCCACAGTTCCAACGACCGTCAGGGGCGGTAAGAAGGAACTGAGGGGGCGCTGGGTCGGCTGGGGTATATATCCAGCGCCATAACGGCGCCACTCTAGGGGGCTCCACAGCCGACCCACCGGGGTTGCTAGGGCAAAAATCTTCCGACGATCGTGCACGCGGCGCGCGCACACCTAACTGGAATGGATATGAGCAAGCACTCGAAGAAGAATATAGACTTATAGAAAGAGACCTTCTAAAAACGTTAAAATGTATTACCGGCACGCGAAACCTTAAATTAGAGTGAATAAATGAAGACTCGGCACACCACTTCTGAAAGGTTGCCGACCCCTGCTTTAGGAAGATACTTCAGTGAAATAGACAATAATACTATGTGTCTCTTTGAAGGTTGTGGTAACCTGTATCTGAACTGTTTAATGGATAAAGCTAATTGCCAGGATGTTTGGGAGAAGGAGAGTTAAGCCTATTGTTTTCTCAGGCCAAAAGGCTGCTGGAAATGTATGAGAATCCTGGGACACGATCCTGCTTCATCGCAGATCTGCTTTGGGTTTCAAGAGGGGGAAACCTTAAGCCACAAGGATTGAGATCCCCAGTCATTGACTGGAGCCACCCTGAATATGGACATTGGACTATAACCTATGGACTATTTCTAAAAGGACTTTTGGCAACTACAAGCTCGCCTCTGCTGTGTATCTGAACCTCAAGAATTGAATTCAAGTCTGTATGTATATTGATCTTTTAACCAACACTCTCTCTCTTTTCTTTTTTAATAAATTTTAGTTTCGTTAATAAGAACTGACTATAAGTGTGTATTTTGGGTAAGATCTAAGTGATAATTGGACCTGGGTACGTGGCTGATCCTTTGGGATTGGAAGAACCTTTTCTTTTATATGATGAGATAAGATTTTCAGTAATCATCATCATATCTGACAGGTGTGTCTGGATGGAGGCCTGAGGCTGGGTACTTTAAGGGAACTGCGTTGTTTGGACTTCTGAGTAACCAGTGAGGTACTACAGAAGCTGTTTTGTGCTGGCTTGAAAAATCTAAGTATTGGCATATCCACCAGCCTTTGGGGTTTGTCTGCCCCGTTTTGTTTGCAGTTCACCCTGATTGAGTGACCTTAGCTGGCTCCCACAGACAGCACCGTCACAGCTTCCTACCCTCCTTCTCTTTACTTCCTTTTAGCAGTTACATAATTATCATGGAAGCATTATCTACAGACCATAACACCTCTATGGAAAGATTTCTTTTACAAGTGTTTATGTTTAAAAAACAAGATTTGTTGCATTCAGTGTCCAAATTTCCTTATTCTGAAAGTCAGCATCACAAGTTAAACAGATTAAGTTGCAGCAAGAATGACAGAGCAATCCAATGCATTTTGTAATGCGTTTCCATCTACAACAGATACTGCTTCTCTGCCTCACAAACCTCAGTGTCCTATGCTGCTACCAGTTAACTTGACATTGTTGGTCTCCTAAATGACACCAACCAGGCCTGAGCCATGCCTTCCAACAGCAGCTCAAGACCACCTGATCCTTAAGTCATGAACCAGGTGCAAGGACAACTGATCTCCCATTTATATCTCCCACACAACCTCAGAGAAGTTATGAGATCTGCATATATTGCCATTTATTCACATTAGCATGATCAATAACAGACCACTAGAGAAGGGAATTGGACTAGAGGGTAATAAACACAGTCTAAAACCTCAGCTCCAGAGCTTAGCAAGTTTGATGTAAATAATTTGTTTACATTAGTTAGCATTTGTGCTGTATTTAGGAGATGGGAAGCTTTCCATCAGTACCAGCTGTTATTACAGTAGGCCACGTGGGCGGAGCTTATAGATCAATCTAGGACTAAAACAAATGGTCTCTCATCAAGAGCGACAGCTAAGAGGCATGCTCATATTAACCAGCTCTACTGCCTGGTCCAGCAATGGAACCCAAACCTGACAGCTGGATCTTGTGAAGAGTGTAGGCAAGGTAGAGAATAACTTGTACCTGTAAATTCCCTCCACTAGGATGAGGATTTTTTTCCAGGGCCTGCGGGTGCGAGGTTGCCCATGTACAATGGCATCTCTGAGCAGTTTCTCCAGGCTCTGCATATCTGCACAGGAAAGAAAAAAAAAAAAGTAGCGCGATTCCACCAAACAGCCTTTAGTACTATTTCCCCATTAGCACGACACAATTAAATGCAGGAGCACACAAATAGGTCACAGCTACAAGTCACAGCCACCCTCTGATATGAAGAGTGGCCCACAGAGACTAATACCTGTGAAATCTATAGAATCATAGAATCCCAGGGTTGGAAGGGACCTCAGGAGGTCATCTAGTCCAACCCCCTGCTCAAAGCAGGACCAATCCCCACACAGATTTTTGTCCCAGATCCCTAAATGGCCCCCTCAAGGATTGAACTCACAACCCTGGGTTTAGCAGGCCAATGGGCAAACCACTGAGCTATCCCTCCCCCCTAAACTCTATCATGATCCCAAGTTTGGCCACATTGCATTTGAAGCCACATCTCCCGCAAGCCACATCTCATGTTAAAGGTGACTGTGGCTGTGTGGTATAGCACTGACACATGATTTCCGCTATAGGCCAGGATTTGGTCATACTTGGTTAAGAGTACAACAGTACAGAGATTAAGACATCAGAAAGAGACAGACTTGGAAATAAAAGGGAAGAGAGAAATGGGTTGGTAAATGGCAGGTGGAGACGAGTGAAGGTATTTCATGTTTGGGAAAAACAAGAGCAGGCTTAGGGGTTGGAAAAGGAGCCAGAGAGAAGAGAATGAGTTCAAGGATGATGAGCCTGAGGCAGACAGCTGGCGATTGGGCAAAGGAGGATAGATGAGGAAGCAAGTTCTCCCCTAATGTCATTTCTGTCTTTAAATAAACTGAACGAGATGGTGGGTGGAGAAAAGACACAAGAGTTAATAAGGAAGCAAATCTGATGAGACCTGATGGGGTTGGACGTGTGGAAAGAGAAAGCTAATTCACAAGGAACAAAGCAGAGTAAAATAAGCAAAGGACAGTGAGTGGAAGAAGTTGGGGGTAGTTACAGGCCTCTGCCCTCTAGAAACACTGCACTTGGGGAGCAGAGACCAGAGGCAAGGCGAAAGCACAGGAGAGGGCAGAATTCATACCACACCATAACAGTAAAGTGGAGGACTGTGAGCAGCAGCATACTCCAAGACATCAGTAGCCTGAATTGAGTGACAGTGCAGATGAAATTATGCAGGGAGGAGCGAAGGAGAGATTGATGCTGAATGACAAGACCAGAGTGCATTTGAGTGATGAGAAGAGCACACCACATAGCACTTGGAGATCCAGTTAATGGAATGGCTAATGTGAATAAATCATGAAGGAGTCAGTCCAGACTAAGAGCCCAAAGGAAAGAAAGACATTACAGATGGAATGAACAACATGGAAGTTGAAGTGACACAGGATGAAGACAGGGAGGCAGAGGAGAGAGCCAGGCATGGAAAACAAATTATGGGGAGGCTGGCGGGGAGCATAGACAATCACAAAAAAGAGGAAAGAGTGTGATTTTGAGAAGTGGCAGTGGGAGGAGCTGAAAGAACCTTTTCTTTCTGGTTTCAGAGTCCAGGTACAGGAGACTGTGCCAAAGCATGGTTGCCAGGCATGGGTAGGGGTACTTAATTTTAATGTTTTTGTCCATAGGATGGACAATGATTACAGAACCATGTTAGGGAATCTTATTGCAGCCTAGATCCTGACCTTGGAAACTAAGCAATGACCTAAGAAACCATACGACAACCTAGATCATCTATCTAGGTTCTTACATGACTTTCACCACTTTAGTATCTGACATGGATTGTAATAAGATTCTGTACGTGTGCTGACCCATACATGATACAAACTGAAAGGTGTGAACACCAGTAGTCCCCCTGCATATGCCAGACAGCCATGCACTGGCTTTATATTAGGGATGTAAATATCGTTTAAAAAGTTAATCGCTTAAACTATCAAAATTATATTGTTTAACCGATTAAAGGGAGAGGTCCCGGGGGCTCCACTCCAGCTGGGCCCAGGGCTGGGGGTTAACGGTAAAACTAATGCTTACTGGTTAACCGTTTAATATTTTACATCCCTACTTTACATATGAAAAGCTATAAGGGGACCCAGAAATGCAACACCATAAAGTGCTACTGATTGGAGCAGAGGAGTACTGGCAGAGCTGGGAAGGGAGAGAAGAGAAAGCCTACATGACACCTGCCTCCAATGTCTAGATTTAATCAGATACCCACATTTGCATAAGCACTAAATTCACTCACCCAGTTTAAGAAACCTCTTCCATAAGTGTCCTTTCAACAACCTTAAAAAAACCCTGTATTTAATGGCCAATTTGCAGAGAATAGAGCTTTCAATCCAGGGTTTGCAACACTATTAACTCCAAGGTGCTAGCAGCCCCTAAGAGCCTCTAATTACTGGAAATGGGTTTCCCAGTTGGACATTCAGATTTACAGCAACAAGAGGCAGGGTTCTCAGAAAAGAGTGTGACGTGTCTGAGCTACAAGAGGAAGTGCCCCCTCAACAGGTACTCACTGTTGTGCTTGAAGATTCGAATAGTTGCTCCTGACAGTCTTGCTCCAAGCACTAGTGATGCATGATTCAGCTCATCGCTCAGTATCAGACAGCCCTGCACAAGGGGAAAAAATGAGGCAAAAAGGCTGAAAAGACTGAGGTTAACAGCAGAGCAGTGTGATAAGACCACTCTTATTTGCCTTTAGTCAGAGTACTCTTCAAACGGCTGTGTTTGTATTAGACGAGACAGCTCTACCTTTAACTATCACTAGTAATGCACATCCCAATATCCTGCCATGAAGTCAAGATCAGTGATTCACCATATGAATCCTGCGGAGGATAAGTGAAAGCCATACCTTACTAGGAAGTGCTGTGTGCTATACATGGCATCTACACACAGCTGGTCATAGTGTCAGTTTGTGAAAGCCGAGTATGTCTGAAAACAATTTAATCCGTTCTCTTCGGGAGAAGATAAGATTCCCTAATATCGTTGAACTAGCACCTACTAGTCCTGTGATGAGCCTTATATTAAGAGAAGGCACAGGATTTGCTATTAAGCAATTACAAGGAGGTTTGTTAAAATCAGTGTTCACACAAAACGGAGAACAGGAAACGTAGCACAAAACAGGAAGTTTCCAATGCAGCCTGACTCACCCTCAGGAGGTCTGCATATTTCTGACCGCACAACCCTTATGGATTTCACACCATCCCCAGCCTATCTTTGGCTCTGTCTACTAGGAACTTGACTGGCTGCTGCTAACGATTGTCAGTAATGTGCCCGTCCCCTCCAGAACCTGGTGCTGAAAACTGTAGAAAGGACACAACTGTTCTCAATCATGTTTTGCCAGTGTTGAAAAACTGACCATGTCCTACCTGCATTACAGTTATGCAGTTTTCAGCATCAGTTCAGGGTGTCTTGTTGCTGATAGCCCATGGGGAGCAACATATCAATTACCTCGTGCCGATGGAGCCTATGAGTCCCTCTTGCTGGCTATGCTGATTAAACACTATTGGGGTAAGGTTAGGTTCTATTATTGTGCTCTCAATCCCCTCACTGATGACAACAGTAGAATGGAGATTAAGTAGTAACTGAGGATGGCACTAAAACTTTTGAAGAACAGAGAGAAATAAAATACTCAAGCAGTTCATTTGTGACCAGCACAGCTGTGGTGACTTCTATTTTAGGCTTATCAAGTGTGATGTAAATGTCTAGTTACAGTGCTAGTCTTCCTGATTAGCTAACGGGTTACCTCTGGACAGCTGAGGTTGCAATTGCTGGTCATTACTCTTACTACACCCAAGGAGGTCTAAGTGCCTCACAGATATTATAGCCTGGTTCATATTTGAGAATCTTGAGTCTACAGTTTAAGCAGGATAGGTGACAAGGAGCTCAAACAAGTGGGGGAGGAGAAGTTTCACCAAAAAGTGGAGACAATATGCATTAGTGAGGACTTTTCCTACTAAGTTTAAATGTAAAGTTATCCAAAACAGAGCCAATTGATGAAATAGCCTGTGTACAAATGGGGACTGGGAGACACTAACCAAATTCCCTTTGAGTTTTGGTTGCCTTCTCCGTGTTCCTATTAGTGCATCAAGCTATTTATGCTTCCATGAGAGGCCTGTGACTGGAATAGCTGGCGGTGCCACAGGTCAGGATTGAGAGTTGTGTGGATCAAGAAAGGTTAGTCATTCATTTTCAGTGTCATAAGGAGTTGAGAAAAGACAGTTACCTTTTCCGTAACTGGTGTTCTTCGAGATGTGTTGCTCATGTCTATTCCACAATAGGTGTGTGCGCTCGCCACGTGCACTGGTGCCGGAAGTTTTTCTGCTAGCAGTACCCGCAGGGGAGCGCCCTAGCGACACCTGGAGTGGCACCTCCATAGTGCAGTATAAGGGGCACTGCGCGCTACCCCCACCCTCAGTTCCTTCTTGCCAGACAACTCCGACAGAAGAGAAGGAGGGCGGGATGTGGAATAGACAGGAGCAACATCTCGAAGAACACCAGTTACGGAAAAGGTAACCGTCTTTTCTTCTTCTCCGAGTAATTGCTCATGTGTATTCTACAATAGGTGATTCCAAGCTGTATCTGTTGGAGGTGGGAAGGAGTTCAAACTCTCGGGATGGAGAACAGCCCTGCTGAACCCGGCGTCCAACGAGGCCTGCGCCTTAGGTCGAGTGCACCTTCACAATTGATGGCGGAGGGATTCCCGCCAGGTCATAACAGGTACGGATGCACGAGGTGATCCAGTTGGAGAGCCGCTGAGTGCAGATCGGCCGACTTTTCATGCGCTCGGCCGAGGCGATGAACAGTTGCAAGGACTTTCTGAATAGCTTAGTCCGCTCCAGGTAAAAAGCCAGAGCCTGCCTCACATCCAGCGTGTGGAGGCAGCACTCCTCACTGGACGCATGGGGCTTGGGGCAGAGGATTGGCAGAAAAATGTCCTGACCCATGTGATAGGTGGAGACCACCTTCGGGAGGAACGAAGGATGTGGGCGGAGCTGGACCATGCTCCAGCCCAGGCACTCTAGCTAAACTAAACAACTAACTAACTACAGGTACCATACACAGAAGTTTTGGGGACAAGCTCCAGCAAAGCTGGAGCAGAGCAGTTCTGAAGCACCTTCACTGGCGACAAGAAGGAACTGAGGGTGGGGAGAGCACACAGTGCCCTTCATACCGCACCATGGAGGCGCCACCAAGGGGTCGCTAGGGTGCTCCCCTACTGGTACTGCTAGGGGAAAAACTTCCGGCACCGGTGTACGTGGCGAGCATGCACACTTATTGTGGAATACACATGAGCAATCACTCGAAGAAGAAATACACATTTGACAGACAGAGGAGCCCTTATGAAATGTTCAGAACAGCAGAACAATCAGTTTGACAGTGGCGCTCCGAAGGAAAGAGGCTATCTTCTTGGGTTTAATAATTACTGAACACAGCAACAACCATGATGCTTAATTATCGCGCATATCCTGTAACATTCCTATTACTGTAAGGGACAGAAAATGTTACAACTTTTAAGTTGATACAATCAACAAGAGGCAAGAATATCATCTATTAGGGTACATCTATACTTCAATAAAACACCCACGGCACAGCCGCTGTGCATCAGCTGACTCGGGCTCAGCCTGCAGGACTAAAAACAGCAGTGTAGACATTCGGGCTTGGGCTGGACCCTGGGCTCTGAAAACCTCCCGCCTCATAGGATCTCAGAACCAGAGTCCAGCCCAAGGCCAAACATCTTCACTGCCATTTTTAGCTCTGTGAGCCTGAGTCAATTGACCCGACTCAGATTTCATGCCAGGGTTTTTTTTTTTTATTGCAGTGCAAACGCATGTCACCCAGCATCCCTCAATGTGCCCTTCCTAGCTAAGTATATTTACATGGCCTTCATCACCATAATAGCCGAGTATCACCTAATTAGGTTTTAAAAAACCCAATCATCTGCAGACTGGGAAAGAAAAGAAAAGTCTTGGGCCTTGACATTTTAGCATTTGTGTTCCTTCAGAAGATCCAGAAATGCTGGTTAACCTCACTCACCACCTCTGAGGCTTCTTCTAGAAAGATACTGATGGTATATTAAATAAATCTATATTGGATCTATATCGATGAAATAAATACTCGCCTGTTACACTGTACTCATGGAGGATTTCAGTTACCTACAATAGATATCTGTTGGGTAATGGACAACCAGAATCAAGTATACACAAAAGAAGAGCCTATGCCACACAGAAGATAAGTTTAGGATCCAGGAAGTTTGCAGAGAAACCTGTATCAACACCATTTCACTGAGGGACAGGAAGTAGTGAAAAACCATGTGGAAAAGTTGTCACTGGCTATTTAAATCACCCATAGTAAAGACTGTGGGATTCACACAACATTTCAAAGATATTAGATTTCGGGAAAGCTAGATTTTGAGCACTTAATACTTTTACATAAAATGCAATCGGAGGAAGTATTAATATCTATCAGTGTGGAAAACAGCTAGTAAATTCCAAGAACACACATAATTAAGGCTAAAGAGACCATGCATCTTCCAAAACAAAATGCAAAGGGCATGAAGTAATTGCTTCACCAGGGACATGCTCCACAGTCTTAGAAGAGGAGACGGGACACATCCACACGACAACAGAGGGTCAGGTGAGACTTGTAGAGGAAAGACAAGGACATCCAAAAAAGCAGAATTATCTAATCTTAGACAAAAATGAATGGGGACTTTATAATTATTAGGCAAAATGAAAAAGAAAGCAGGCTTATTACTAAAAGGAATGAAAATAGGTGAAAATTACTGGTCTCTCTTATGCATACAATTGACAAAAGGAAGACTAACCCTATTAACTTTGCATCTGATATAGTCTGAAGATTAATCAATGCAAAGTGTCTAACTTAAGTAAGAATGTTTAAAAAAATATTCTAAATTTCCATTGCTGCATCAGAGATATGCATTCTCTGGTCAGCAAGTTAAATTATCCTTGCAGCTGACACTAGCTTTCTTTGAATTTACATTCCCTCCCCATAGTCTCTATGAGCTCTTGAACTTTTCTCCCAAACCTGCTACTGTTTCTAGCATCTATTCCATTCTTATTGTTATTAATGATATATAACAGGGTTCTAGAATGTCTGGAGAAAATTACACGAATACTTCAAATTTTGATGGACTATCCCAAATCTGGTCATTTTAAATTTCTATTACTGGATTGAGATGAAACACCTTCTGGAGACCCTTCTTCATCACACACCCCTAGAAATCATCTCAAAGCACAAATGTAAAACAATTAAGATCCTTGGATGAGAATAACTATATAAATGGTAAGTAACTGAAATTTATCAAATACTTGATAAATCTGTCATAAAATCTTACTCATTACTTCAGATTGTCTTAAATACAAAAACAAGGCATCTTGAGAAAAAACAGGAAACCTAGGACTTGAAAGACTTTACCATGGTAAATGTTCTCACACAGGGATAGAAAGTTATGGCAGCAGCTAAGTCAGCAGTATCTGGAAAATTTAAGCTATCATTTAACATAAGTGCTAGTTTCTACAGTTGTGGAAATAACTTTACAATACAAACAAAGTGATCCTCTTCAATCTTCAGACAGCTACTGCAACCCTGGATGCTGATCAGAGCTACCCAGGTGTCAACACAGTGAAATTGAGCAAAGCTTTCAGTTTCACTGATGCCCACAAGATTCTGAATAGCTTCAGGGAAACTGCCCAGAATCATGTCAATTTCACTTCTGCTGCTTGGGAAAATTGTAAGCAGTGTCAGAGGCAGGCACTGAAGGTATTCAAGAAAAGGACTAAACACAGAAAAAGGCAGGAGATGAGATGAAGCAACAGAAATTTGAAAGGTTCAAACACCATAGGAGGAATTCAGAGGGGTTCAAGGGGGAATAATTAGGAATAACAGGATGAAATTAAAAATGGGAAGATTTAAATTGTACCAAGAAAAAATCCTGTGCGAGAAAGATGTATGAGGCTCTAGAATCATCTCCAAAAGGGAAGGAGAAGTCCCATCAGATTATATTTAAATCTGAACAGGAGACAGAAATAGAACATACATTGTACTATACCAGCAGAGGCAGATGGATTAAATGGAGTTTAACAGATCTTCTCCATCTCTTAATCTCCTGTGATTAGGTAACACCATTTAGTGATGCAAAAGATTCAGGCTGAGTTCTGTGCTGTCAGGCAGCAGACCTATTATTTTGCAGGCCTGGATGATCATTGTAATCATTAATGCAGCACTATTTGGTGAGCAAAATGTTGGTCTTTTATGGGTTTATTACATCAAACGAAATTTTTCTTCCCTAGTAATTACTGTCTGTATGAGAGATTATAGGTTTCCAAGTTTATGACTGGGATGCCCAACTTGGCTCAATTTTATGCCAGTTAGGAGGGGCATTCAGTCTCTCAGCAAGCTGTCAGAACAGTCTGTGGTTGGGCAGTTTACTGAAGTAATCACCATCTTTAATATCATGGTGTGGACTGCAGAAACTAGAAGTCCCACAAGGTTGTGCTCTCTCCCAACACAAGAGCCATTCTGGAGCATTACAGGTTCTAGCACAGTGTCCCCAAAAGACCCTTTGGTTGAGATACAGTATAGATGACATACCGGGACCTGTATCTGCAAAGAACATTTGCAGTGACTTCTTTTAAAAAAGAGTGAGCAACCCCTAAAGAGTCCATAAGCAGAAATTTCGTGCCAGACACCCTGTTACCCATTCTCTCTGAAGCCATACCTTGCCAACTAAAGCAGGAATGTTCATTGAGTTGGTTGAAAACCCCATCCCATACGTCATTGCAGCCTCCACACCCAGGAACCTGGCCACTAGTTTTTCCAGCTCCTCATGCTTGTCCAGATTTCCTGCATGTAAAATAGCAAAAGAGAAGTCCAAAATAGACCAGATGAACCTGGGGCCAAATCTGTGCCACAAGAGGTTTTTCAACAGCTAGATTTTTTCTTTTTTTTTGGTATGATCCAGAAAAGGGGGCGGGGGGAGGGTCAGTGGAAAAATCTGACAACATATCAATGAAGACTGTTGTGGCTGTGTAAACTAAGCATGCCAGAACAGAAAAGTACAGATTTTATCTTCACTCTGTAGTTGTGATTTCTTTACTGCTTCATCTGAGGTTCAAAAACTGGAACCATACAATGTTTTGTAGAGACTAATGAACAGATTATGATTTAAGTATACACTTTGAAAACACCTGCCCCCCACCCAAACTTACCCATTTCCTGCCTAGTGCTGCATACCCCAGCTCCATACTGTGTCAGTACTTTAGCTGCTGCTTCTTTGCAAATTCCAGTGTTCTGAGCAAATCCAAGATAGTTGTAGGAACCCATGTTAATAACGTCTTTTATCACTCTCCCTGTGTACCTGTATTTCAATAACATCACATGTTAAGACACTGACAAACAAACCCAAGATCCAACTACACAAGAATACACTAGCTACCATCAGCCTGCTAGGAAATGTATGGAACTAGGAGAGACCAACAGCCTGCGGCCAGAAAGTTTACATGTATACGGTCCTTGTTTTCAAAACTGAAATAATTAGCTGAACAAGGATGCTCTTTCATTGCTGGGGTCTCTAATTCAAGTTAGATGTATTAAAGGTATATAAGCCATTTTTAACAAATATCTGATTTCTCATCTTTTTTATGCTTATATATTTAAAAAATTTAAATGAAGGCTAGAAGCTAGTAGATGTTCTTTGGAATACTGTCTTAAATTTTTAAAAGAATGTTGAAGGTTTTTCCAATCATTTGTTAGCTGTGTCCTTCCTTCCCCTCCAGCCTCCCACCCGCAAATTTCAAGCCTTTTCTTTCCATTTTAAAAATGAATTCTTTAGACTAATTAGGTTGGCACTACCCCCAACAGGATATCCCCCCAGCACAAAGGAAATGCATCTGGAAATCAGCACTGGTGTGTTGCAATACGGGGCAAGAACAAACTGTAGTGGAAAAAAGTTGCATTGACTATAATACTCTTGAAAGCCAAGGACAGGCATCATAAGTTACACTGTGTGTTGGGCTGTACAGGTTTCTCACATACAACCTCTGTCAAGGTACCTCAACTTTGATCTGTAGCAACCCTTGCTATTCCACTTCTGGTCTCCACCCCTGAGCTCTGCCAGTTTATTTCAGTCTTGACCCAGAGCACTCCTGCTAAACTCAGCCTCAGACAATCATGTGGTGTTTGTGTGACATGTACTGTTGTGACAATCGAGCCCACAAATTTAGCCTAATTGCATGCTCAGCTGTGAGAAATGAGTGAAAGTTAATGGAATGTCACAATATCCTGTAACAAATGTTGATGAGAAAAGATACAAAAGCAAGACAAAGACTGAATTAGTATAAAGAGGCCTACTGATATAATTCAAGGAATGTGTTAAGATCATGCCTAGTTAAACAAAAACAGCGTGGGATCAGAAATCAGTGAACCAAAACTGGCATGTAGGAAGTTCAGTCTAATTGATGGACAAAGTAATGAGATGGGGTATTCCACTCATCACTCCTTTTTGGGGTTCTTAGAGACTTTAGGGAAGAAGAAAAAACTTTTTATCATCACTGCAGGACTGGTGGAAGAATTGGTGCCGTGACACTAGACTTTGATACTCCAGTGATAGCACGGGACCATTATCACTGAACCAGGAAGGACCCTAACTTGATAAATGTGAGATCCTGCTGTATTCCCCTCCCTCATGTGCTTCTTTCTGTCCCTTATATCTTCCTCCTGCTCTCTCCCTCCAGCTTTTCATGTGATCCTGAAGTCAACCATATTGCATGGCACCAGCGCGACGGAATGAGACCGCCCATCCAGCTCTGTTCGGCCTGAGAAGGACCAGTGAAGGAAAGGGACCTGCTCAGACCAACCAGATGATATCCATGGTGAGTTGGAGTCCAGAACAGCTGTTGTGGCCCACCTGTCAGCCCAAAGCATCCATCTACAACTGACCAGCCACTTTGCATCCTGAGATCATCAACAAAAGCTGTTTCCCCCATCTTTACTATCCTTTCTATATCTGTCTTGTCTAAAGCAGGAAAGTGACTCATTCCCAACTCAGAACTGAACAACAGAACTCACCCATTACTTCGCCACCAAAGACTGTTTGGCTGAATAAAAGATTAACTAATATTCAGTGTTTCCAAAAAAGGACTTTGATTATCCAAAACAAAGTTAACCTATCAATTTCAGTTTCAATGCTCTCTACCTCATTTTGAGTATTTTCCTTTTGTGTGTTTCAGTCAAACTACTAACCTTTTGCATGAATTTTATAGTATACTTGCCATGGTTCTAAGCAGGCCGAGGTCTCTGAATACCAAACCCCAAACCTTGTTTAAAACTATTTAATGTTGGACAGTGACTGGGTTAACACCTTTGGCCTACATATTCAATCTCAATTAACACAACGGTACACCCCAGGAGCCAGAATACCAAACTCTCACTTGGATTCTAATCCATGTCAGAATAAAATCACCAGAAGTGAGACAGGCTAAGCAGCATATGCAGTAAATGCTCTCACAAAGGTACTGGCCTGATTTTAACTACTGGCTTCCTGCTATTATGTGAACCCTTCCATACAAAGATATAAAACACTTCTAATCACTGTGTTTACAGATACAAGTATAAACTATTACACATGAGTCATAACCCCAGTGAAGAGGAATTGGCATCTCAAACTCTGAAGTTCCTTGGTTCAAATTTTGGCACTTCAAAGAACATCAGAATGGCCATACTGGGTCAGACCAATGATTCATCTAGCCCAGTATCTTGTCTTCGACAGTGGCCAATGCCAGGTGCTTCAAAGGGAATGAACAGAACAGGGTAATCCATCCCCTGTCCTCCAGTCCCAGCTTCTAGTAATCACAGGTTTAAGGAGTCTCAGAGCCCATTATGGGGTTGGTCCCTGACCATCTTGGCTAATGGCCATTGATGGATATATCCTCCAGGAACTTCTGATACTTTTTTGAACCCAGTTATAGTTTTGGCCTTCCTATGGCAACAAGTTCCACTGGTTGATTGTGAGTTGTGCGAAGAAGTACTTCCTTATGTTTGTTTTAAACCTGCTGCCTATTAATTTCATTAGGTGACCCCCTGATCCTTGTGTTATGTGAAGGGGTAAATAGCACTTCCTTATTCACTTTATCTACAACATTCATGATTTTATAGACCGCTACTATATTCCCCTCCTTCCCCCCGCCCCCAGTCACCTCTTTTCCAAGTTGAACAGTCCCAGTCTTCTTAATCTCTCCTCATATGGAAGCTACACTATACCCTAATCATTTTTGCTGCTCTTCTCTCTACTTGTTCCAACTCAAATAGGTCTTTTTTGAAATGGGGAGACCAGAACTGCATGCAGTATTCATGGTGTGGGTGTACTATGGATTTATCTAGGGGCACTGATATTTTCTGTCATAGTATCTATCCCTTTCCTAATGGTTCCTAACATTCTGTTAGCTTTTTTAGACTGCTACTGCACATCGAGCAGATGTTTTCAGTGCACTATCCACAATGACTCCACAACCTTTTTCTTGCATAATAGCTAATTTAGACCCCATCATTTTTCATAATAGTTGGGATTTATTTTCCATTGTGCATTACTCTGCATTTATCAAAAACAGGAGTACTTGTGGCTCCTTAGAGACTAACAAATTTATTTGAGCATAAGCTTTAGTGGGCTACAGCCCACTTCATCGGATGCATAGAATGCATCTGATGAATGCATCCGATGAAGTGGGCTGTAGCCCACAAAAGCTTATGCTCAAATAAATTTGTTAGTTAGTCTCTAAGGTGCCACAAGTACTCCTGTTCTTTTTGCAGATACAGACTAACACGGCTGCTACTCTGAGATCTGCACTTATCAACATTGAGTTTCATCTGCCATTTTGTTGTCCAGTCACCCCATTTTGAGAGAGAGAGAGACACTCTTCACAGTCTGCTTTGGACTTTACTATCCTGAGTACTTTTGTATGGTCTGCCAACAGACTGTTTACCATTTTTCCAGATCATTTACAACTATGTTGAATAGCACTGGTCCCAGTACAGACCCCTTAGGGACCCTGCTAATTTACCTTTCTCCACTGTGAAAACTCACAATTGATTCCTACCCTTTGTTTCTTATGTTTTAACCAATTATTGATCCATGAGAAGACCTTCCTTCTTATCCACTAGTCTGTGCAGGACCTGCTGCTCCTTCAAAGACTGTTTCATTGCCCTCAGGCATTCTCCACTCAAGACTAATTGTTGGGAATCTTTCCTCAAGCTTTAACTCACGTAAATGTCCAATTGTAGTCATGGGAAAGTCTCTCCATCATGTCCACTTTGGCCCCAGGCACACTGCAGATTGGTCTGTTCCAGCTGTCTCGAATGCGCATGTAGAGGTTCCTTGTGTAGAAGTTTTCAAAGTCCTGATACAATGGGACAAAGTCCTGCAAAAGATACATTAAGGGCACTCAAACAAGAGAAAAGATCATATGCCTAGTCTGTTGTGATACAAGGAGAACCAGTTTTCTGCATCAGTTTGGGATGCACTTTTAAGTGCACTCAAGAAAAATGCAATATATATGATGACACTGAACACTTTTCAGCCACTGATTTTAAAGAACTTCACTGAGGTGTCATTCCCTACATATATCACTGCTGGAAAGCTAAGGCACAGGGAAAGCCACTTGCCCAACTCCACATAGCAGCAGAACCTAAACCTCCCAATTCCTAGGGCAGTGCCCTTAGCTACTAGATCATATTTCAATCCCAGGAGATGGGTAAAATTTCCTCAGTTGTTTACATCGCACTGTAGAGAGGTGATGGAGAAGAGGTGGCCACCGCTGGGGCCCACTTTCCCACCTCCTCCTCTTCCAGTGCAGCAGTTCCTGTTCAGTGTGTGTTCAGCTGCAACTGAGAGCAAGGAAATCTTATGTATGAAAGTACCCTTTTTACAGTTCATTTTCAGAACAACATACTTTAACGCAATTAATACAGCAGCATTAGCATTTCTGTGGAAATTAACTTCTAAATTTCCCAAACTTGTGTTCAGAATCCCAATTGTACAGTTGCATTCTGACAAACACTTCTCTATAGTTTGCATTATCACTTATATCCCACAAAGTCTGTTTGCATGAATGTTTCCTGAACTCCAGCTTCCTTTCCAAAGTATCTCTCAGGAAAACCAAATGTATGTCTTAAATGGATAACAAGGAAGAACTTCAAGCTGACTGACACCACTGACACCTCTGAGCACATGGTAATGTATTCCCTTGGCCCACTTCAAAAGCTTGAAAGGATAACGCAATTTCTTTATTTACTGTTCAATTAAAAGGAAGTTAGACATCAGAAGAGCAGTGAGACTATGGAGAATACACTATTCACCTGATGTACTGATGCAAGAAAAGCATCTTTCATTAAAAGTGACCTACACAGGGCAAAAAGCTGGAGTTTATGATAGAGGAAGACAGACAGGAAGAAAATCCATACAAGCTGTTTTTCATATTAGAAATTCAAGACTTGTCTGGGGAATTATTAGCTAAATAGGAAAAGATGGGGATCAATATGAAAATTGAAAGGTGGATAAGGAACTGGTTAAAGGGGAGACTACAATGGGTCGTACTGAAAGGTGAACTGTCAGGCTGGAAGGATGTTACTAGTGGAGTTCCTCAAGGATCGGTTTTGGGACCAATCTTATTTAATCTTTTTATTACTGACCTTGGCACAAAAAGTGGGAATGTGCTAATAAAGTTTGCGGATGACACAAAGCTGGGAGGTATTGCTAATACAGAGAAGGACCGGGATATCATTCAGGAAGATCTGGATGACCCTGTAAACTGGAGTAATAGGATGAAATTTAATAGTGAGAAGTGTAAGGTCATGCATTTAGGGATTAATAACAAGAATTTTGGTTATAAATTGGGGACACATCAGTTGGAAGTAACAGAGGAGGAGAAGGACCTCGGAGTATTGGTTGATCACAGGATGACTATGAGCCGCCAATGTGATATGGCCGTTAAAAAAGCTAATGCAGTCTTGGGATGCATCAGGCAAGGTATTTCCAGTAAAGATAAGCAGGTGTTAGTACCGTTATACAAGACACTGGTGAGACCTCATCTGGAATATTGTGTGCAGTTCTGGTCTCCCATGTTTAAGAAGGATGAATTCAAACTGGAACAGGTACAGAGAAGGGCTACTGGGATGATCCGAGGAATGGAAAACCTGTCTTATGAAAGGAGACTCAAAGAGCTCGGCTTGTTTAGCCTAACCAAAAGAAGGCTGAGGGGAGATACGATTGCTCTTTATAAATATATCAGAGGGATAAATATCAGGGAGGGAGAGGAAATATTTAAGCTCAGTACCAATGTGGACACAAGAACAAATAGATATAAACTGGACATTAGGAAGTTTAGACTTGAAATTAGACGAAGGTTTCTAACCATCAGAGGAGTGAAGTTCCGGAACAGTCTTCCAAGGGGAGTAGTGGGGGAAAAAGACATATCTGGCTTCAAGACTAAGCTTGATAAGTTTATGGAGGGGATGGTATGATGGGATAGCCTAATTTTGGCAATTAATTGATCTTTGATTATTAGCAGGTAAATATGCCCAATGGTCTGTGATGGGATGTTAGATGGGGTGGGATCTGAGTTACTACAGAGAATTCTTTCCTGGGTGTCTGGCTGGTGAGTCTTGCCCACATGCTCAGGGTTTAACTGATTGCCATATTTGGGGTCGGGAAGGAATTTTCCTCCAGGGCAGATTGACAAAGGCCCTGGAGGTTTTTCGCCTTCCTCTGCAGCGTGGGGCACGGGTCACTTGCTGGAGGATTCTCTGTACCTTGAGGTCTTTAAACCGCGATTTGAGGACTTCAGTAACTCAGACATAGGTTAGGGGTTTGTTACAGGAGTGGGTGGGTGAGATTCTGTGGCCTGCGTTGTGCAGGAGGTCAGACTAGATGATCATAATGGTCCCTTCTGACCTTAAAGTCTATGAGTCTGGCCTGTTTTGTTGTGGAGCTCATACGAATGAGTGAAGAATTAATGTTTTGACATTAAATATAAGTAGAACCTCAGAGTTACAAACACCAGAGTTACAAACTGACCACTCAACCACACACGTCATTTGGTACTGGAAGTACACAATCAGGCAGCAGCAGACACCAAAAAAAGCAAATACAGTATAATACTGTGTTAAATGTAAACTACTAAAAATATAGGAAAGTTTAAAAAAAGATTCCACAAGTAAGGTAACTGTTTCTGTGCTTGTTTCATTTAAAATAATACAATTAAAAGCAGCATTTTTCTTCTGCATAGTAAACTTTCAAAGATGTATTAAGTCAATGTTCAGTTGTAAACTTTTGAAAGAACCACCATAATGTTTAGTTCAGAGTTCCGAACATTTCAGAATTACAAACAACCTCCATTCCCGAGGTGTTCATAACTGAGGTTCTACTGTACCATGGAAGTAAATCTTGATTGAGAGGAAAGTAATATTTATTCAGACTTCTTTCAAAGCTTTTAATTAGGTACTGACAGACCAAATAACTCCAACTCCTGTTACACATCTGGAAGAAAAACATTTTTGTTAATGATTTAACCATCTCCCTCCTTTAGTTAGCATGGTACCTCATCCACTGCTCTGGATCCCCAAGGAAAACCACAAACAAAAAGAGTAAAGACAAGTGTTGTACAGCTGTGGCTCAGAGCCCTGACATTAGCAGCATGCTCACAGCACAAAAGCATCCAGGGTTACAGGGCAGGCAGTGACTGAAGGCCCTGCAGATCTGAGGGAAACCCAGAGTGTTACAAGATGCAACAGTCCTGATATTTCTAAAAGAGAGCAAGTAGAATTGTTTTTTTTAAAAAGCCCTTCTGAGCCACCTTTATACAGCAGAGCAGCAAAAAACCAAACAAACCTATTTATTCCTCCACAGGTAATTTAAATTACATAAGGGTAAACCAAATCCAGCTACAGAATGGACCTCCCAGGTAGACCGGGGATCTCAGATGTGACCTTTCCTACCTAAGGAGAATTAAAGTTTTTAGAACTTCAAGGTGAAGTGAGTTTGATAGATAACAATATCCTGGACAAACCTTATGGAATTAAGTTAAACCTTCCTGAATTAAGCTTAAGTATTTTGGGAGTAATTTATGTACTATCTATAGAGTTTCTTTAGGAGGAAGACATTTAGGACAGGGGTGGGCAAACTACAGCCCATGGGCCACATCCAGCCTGCCAGCTGATTTAATCCGGCCCTCGAGCTCCTGCTGGAGATCGGGATCTCGGGCTTGCCCCGCTCCCACACTCCAGCCAGGGAGCTCCATGCGTGCATGCCATGGCTCCGCGCAGCTCCCAGAAGCAGTGGCATGTCCCGTCACCAGCTCCTAAGCGGAGGGGCAGCCAGGGGGCTCCACACACTGCTCCTGCCCCAAGTGCCACTCCGGTGGCTCCCATTGGCCATGAACTGCGGCCAGTTGGAGCTGCAGGGGCGGCGCCTACAGACAGGGCGGCGTGCAGAGCCACCTGGCCGCGCCTCCGGGTAGGAGCCAGAGGGGGGACAGGCCGCTGCTTCCGGGAGCTGCTGGAGGTAAGCACCACCTGGAGCCTGCAACAGAACCCCTCCCGCACCCCAATCCCCTGCCCTAGCCCTGATCCCCCTCCTGCCCTCTAAAACCCTCGATCCCAGCCCAGAGCACCCTCCTGCATCCCAAACCCTTCATCCCCAGCCCCATCCCGGAGCCTGCACCCTCAGCTGGAGCCTTCACCCCCCACGCCCCAATCCCCTGCCCCAGCCTGGAGCCCCCTCCCACACTCCAAACCCCTCAGTTCCAGCTTAGAGCACCCACCTACACCCCAAACCCCGCATCCCCATCCACACCCCAGAGCCTGCACCTCTAGCTGGAGCCCACCCACCCCGCACCCCAACCCCCTGCCTGGAGACCCCTCCCACACCCTCAACTCCTCATTTCTGGCCCCACCCCAGAGCCCACACCCCCAGCCAGAACCCTCACCCCCTCCTGCACCCCACTTTGTGAGCATTCATGGCCCACTATACAATTTCCATACCCAGATGTGGCCCTCGGGCCAAAAAGTTTGCCCACTGCTGGTTTAGGAACGTCAAAGGACTTTTTGGGACAATACATGTGGAGTGGATTTCCTAGGAAATACTTGGGAGTGTAGAGAATGCAAATGACCTACTTCAAATTAGGGCTGTCGATTAATCGCAGTTAACTCGCGAGTAACACAAAAAAAATTTATCAAGCTTAATCGCAGTTTTAAATCGCACTGTTAAACAATAGAATACCAATTGAAATGTATTATATATTTTGAATGTAGAAAAACATTTTCATATATATTGTATTCTGTGTTGTAATTGAAATCAAAGCGTATAGATTACAAATATTAGCACTGTAAAAACGATAAACAAAATAGTATTTTACAATTCACC